CTCTGCTTCAGTTTGTGCCCGTTGCCCCTTGTCCTGTCGCTGGGCAGACTTTTTTTTACAAATACCATCTCAGGTCTTTTCTCCTGGTACACCAGCTGCGTGATGACACCAGACTACTACTGCTTCATCGCCTTTCCCTAGTCCTTTGAGTTTCAGAAAGGAAACGTGTTTTAACTCTGTAGTTACTTTTTCACCCAGAATCACTCACACCTTGCAAACCCACCCGCTGGCGGCCACGCGTGCCCCAAGGGTGGTGGCAGTGCAAGGCACCCGACCTCACTCGGCAACTTTTTTTAAAAAATCTTTACTGTTTTTATATCCAGCAACACCTCTATTCTGCTTGTCTGAATATAAAAAAGAAAAAAAAAAAATAAAATGAGAAAACAACCTACCCTGGAAATTTCCTTACTGTTCTTATCAGCCGCCCGGATCTTCAGCGAGCGCATGTTCCGCACACCGCCAGCGCCTCGCCAAGGAAACCAACAGCCACTGACATCACTGATTCTAATTGCTGACATGAAAAAACAGGGTATATTCTCATCTTTTAGTTTCGATCTGCGGGCCCATTTCAACTGAAAAATTGAAAACAAGCCTAAGGTAAGCACAAGGTGGAACTGTGCCTGCCTCCCCGCTGCGCTCCAGCCTTCCCAGACACTACGTCAGCACCGCGCTCCTCCACGGATTTGAACTGCGTTCACATTGTATCTTCAGCAACATTATTTCTTCCACATTTTCGCTGAAAGAAAACCAAACAAATGCAGAAAATCTTTCTTCCTTATGCTTCCCATAGACACCTCCCCTTGTGAAATGATTCACGATCCACGTGAGCCTTCAACAAGTGGAACTGGAAGAAATCTCGCTTAAAAAGGAACACGTCTTCATCGTTTCACACACCCACCGCTTTCTGGGGGGGTTCACACCACTTTTACACACCACAGATATTTTCAAATGCTTGAAGTAAAGAGCATGCCTCGGTTAGCATACAGTGAAAATGAACTTCTGAAAAGCCTGGCTGTTTTTTCCAGAATGGAGGCTAGTTTCTATTCTTAGGATGAGAAACAGCACCGCCACCGGACGCACAATCCAGGGGTAATGCTCACCAGGCTTTAAGCCACCTAATCCTCACAACGTCCCCGTGTAACGTTCCCAAAGGCAGCTCTAAAGGACAACGGCCTCCCAGTGCCCCTTGCTGGGACGCAGCACTGCCCGGGATAACGGCCGCAGCCCGCCTTCCCCCCCGCCACCT